AAACACTTATTTGAGAACAAAACCTGTGATTTTCAGCCTGCATGTTAAATTAGATTTGCTTACATAGAGTATAATGGTGTCTAGATAAACACACCATCTTTATAATCACTGATACAGAATGATAAGCACCTTATCATACATTTACTAAGTGAGACTTAATATGGACAGAGACGTAAAAGGAGTCATGTACTGTGCATATAATGAATATGTAGCATCTTAAAGCATCTACTGATGAGTGTTCTTAAGAACTTGGGGCTTCACTGAAGATGTGGCGTGAGACCAGCAAAAAGGCAAATTAGTTGCTATTTGCAGAAAAAGGAAATTAGTATGGGTTCCTATTAATATATTTACTGATTTTGAAACTCATGACATTTGAAGGTTGAGCAATAGTGCGTGCATAGTTGCCTGTTAACACTTTTAAATAATTGCACTTCACTGTTGTTTCTATATTGCTATATTGTGATGTGAAAATCAGTGGTGGTGTAGGAAAGAAAAGTGCTGGGATTCGGTGGTTAAAGCATGAAAGTGTTTAGGAAGGAGAGGCAGGTATGGGTCATAAAGATCTATTTTATTGAAGAGCTTGCACGCAGCGCTGCACTGATGTCACCTCAGCATGTGAGCAGAAAGTTAGTCGAACATTGACTCATCTGCACTGCCTGGTGTGAGACTGAGAGATGTGTGTGTGTGTGTGTGTGTGTGCGTGTGTGTGTGTGTGTGTGTTAATGCAGTATGAACTTTTACCTGCTATGAATGTTAGGTTTGATGATGGTTATGGTTTTTATTCTGGTAATGATGCTTCTGATAATAATAATAACACTGATGATAATGATTATGACAATGCTGAAAAACTGGCAACGGTAATGTTTAAAATGCCAGATGATTTGTCTTCCATTCATTCTTTTCCCTGATTTATGTTGATTTTTTTCCTTCTACGTTCAAATACAACACCAACACACCTCTGTGTTTACACTATTGGATCTACACAGGATACATTTACTAGAGTATTAAGATGCTATAATCCCGCACATGGTGGCTTCAATTATCTGAAATAATGAGGTTGCAGTCCTATCATTAGACCATACTAAACTTTTAATGGTGGGTACTGCAATACTTTCTTTCTGTTTGTTGGTTTATTTGCATTTTGAGTCGGAAGCGAACATATTTTGAGAAAATGGAGCTGGTGAGTTACGAGGCCCAGCAGGTCCAGATAGCCTAGCATTAGCACCTTAGCAAACAATAAGGTATCAACACACTAGTGCTGCTCTTTTCATAGACTTCTATACAATCACACTTCTTTCTGCGATTATTGGTGTTGCCCCCTGCTGGCATTTAGAAAGAATGCAGGTGTAAGGCACTTGCATGGTAACATACAGATGTTAGAGTATGTTTCTGTGTGTTTACCTGTGTTTCAGACAGCATGCCGACTGAGCCCAACCTGCCAGACGGGGTGAGCAGTAACTGTGCCATCTGTGGAGACAAAGCCACGGGGAAACACTACGGAGCCTCCAGCTGTGACGGATGTAAGGGCTTCTTCAGACGCTCCATACGCAAGAGCCACGTCTACACCTGCAGGTACAGATAGCAAACATATACTGTGAGAGCACACATTATATCATGACACACTTACATAGGTAACTTAACATACTCTTGTAGCCTGCAGATCTAAATAAAATGTGTCATTGCATGGCACATTGTTGTATTGCTCTGTGAAGCTACCTATATCGTTGTACATGTGTCTACTTCAGGTTCAGCAGGCAGTGCATTGTGGATAAAGATAAGAGGAACCAGTGTCGTTTCTGCAGACTCAACAAATGCTTCAGGGCTGGCATGAAGAAAGAAGGTAGGGAAACCTCTCTAAACAATGCTTCATCCTGAAACTCCACCAAAAGTTTACATGTAGATAAACAAAATAGAATGTCTAAATTATTTGGATACCCCAGTAGATATTTATTCCGTATTGTCAGAAGTATAGGCTATATATGCTCATCTTAAATGATTATTTTTCATCTTTTCCACTGACTCAAAGTAGACTCTTTACATAAACCTGGTGGCCCTTAGAGAGAGGCTGTCTTAAGAGAATCTGAAAGCTGCTTCAAGATGGTTGAAATGGGCTGGGCAATAAACTAGGTGATTACTTAGTGTGTGTGTGTGTGTGTGTGTGTGTGTGTGTGTGTGTGTGTGTGTGTGTGTGTGTGTGTGTGTGTGTGTGTGTGTGTGTGTGTGTGTGTGTGTGTGTGTGTGTGTGTGTGTTTATGAGGGGTATAACCTTGGCAAGGAATTATATGACACCTAATCATGTGTTATTCAAACATGTTGTTCTGGAATCCAACTGGTTAACGTTTGACTCCGGTTGCTGATGCCAGCCTGTATAACTATTTTTCTTAAATATTAACTTCCACTAGCGGCTCTCTCATCGTTTGCATTTACGGATTAACCCCCAACTTTTAACACAGCTACATCCCCAACACTAAACTAAGACAGACACTTGAATACAAGAAAGATAGCTAGATGTATTCCAGTTTGAAAAGTTAGTGGACTTTTGCAATTCCTGTTAATTGCTTTTTCTGTTTCATACACAGAAACCTTACAGCTCTCTGTTTCGTTTTAGCTGTACAGAACGAGAGAGATCGGATCAGCTCCAGAAGAAGTATCCCTGACTCCCAAGACTTGCCCCCCATTACTATTTTGGCTCAAGCTGAATCACTGGCCCAACAGGTGACAATCCATTATTCCTGTGCGTGATTAAATTACTTAGACAAGGAAATCAGTGGATTTTGACCCTGGAAACTATTATTGTTCTCCTTCCAGGTCATTGCTCCAGTCGGATTAACAGACATCTCGGAGCAGAAGTCGGCCACTGTGGGAGATGTGTGTGATTCAATGAGACAACAGCTGTTAGTGTTGGTGGAGTGGGCCAAGTACATTCCTGCATTTGGAGAACTGCCACTGGATGACCAGGTAATGGGGCTTTGACTTTGATTATTCTGTCGCTTGCAGGAAATAATTCCTCCTTGTTAATTGTAATCCCCTGTCATTAATGTAAAGTAATACCTCTCAGACTTAAAAGTGTTTTCTTTTAATATTGGTCATGTTTGTGCCTGCATCTTAAACAAGTTGTTTATTATAACAAATAACTTTCAGTTTGGATGAAAGAAAGATTAAATGAAAGATTATTAAAAGCAATATATTAGTAGAACATTATAGACCTTACTAAATATACAGTAGTGTACCTAAACTACAGCTATGTGATGTGTGTAAGGGCAAAAGTGGGGGCTTTGTTGCATTGCTTGGGTTCTTTGCTTAACTGTGTGTGTGTGTGTGTGTGTGTGTGTGTGTGTGTTTCCAGGTGAGTTTGCTCAGGGCTCATGCAGGTGAGCACCTTTTGCTCGGGGTCGCTAAAAGGTCAATGCCATTCAAGGACTTCCTGCTTTTAGGTATGAACTCTCCAGTAGAAAAGCATCTTATTTTAACGTGGTATAAGCACTCTGAAGTGTGAAGGCTGATCAAATTGCGTGGTTTCTTAGGGAACGACCGGGTAGATAATGGGGAACGACCTGATCATTAATCAATCGTTGAGTTCAGCAGCTATGATGAAGGAACACTGAACTAATCATTAGCTAATGATCCATCAATGTAGTATTCCCCTGTCTTTGATCTACTATATAGCCCTTGGATTACCCAGGAATTAGTTATTAGCAATTCATTGATCATCAGGTATTTCTTCCCTCCTGCCTTGACAACTACTAACAGCTTTGAGTACTGTATTGTGAAGTGTTTGCGATTAAATGTTGAATTAGCTGAGAATGATTAACCAAAAGTGATTTCTTTGTAGCTTCAAATGTGTCTCTTGTAAACGACATTAATCATTACCTAGGCACTCACCAACATCATAGTGTAGGCAGATATATCAAATACATACACTCAAACACACACGATGTCTATTGCTATATAGGACCACTGAAGTCAGATTTAAAACTGTTTTCTCTAAAGGTTACATTTGTTCTCCTCACTCTACCACACACACCTTACACCCCCCCCCTCGGTACTAAACGGTTCTCTCTGTGTCTACAGGAAGTGGCTGTGTGATCCACAGGAACAGTCCTGAGCAGGAGATGTTTAAGGTTGCTAACCGAGTGCTGGGTGAGCTGGTGCATCCCTTTCAGGATATTCAAATAGACGATAACGAGTATGCAGCGCTCAAGGCTATCGTCTTCTTTGACCCAGGTAATTAAAACAATTTCCCTCTTCTTAGGGATATCTTTCGTCTGTTTGCAATTTAGATTTATCGTAAGTTCAGAACACTTTGGAAAACAAGATTAATTGACTCAGGCAAGATTCATATATACTATTTTGTAAATTGCTCTTGGTAATCTCCTTGGCACAGGGATTGATCTGAGTAATGGCCCACATCTGTATAATATTTATCAGAATTTCAAAAGGGTTAATATTAAGGGCTAAAAACATTACATCAAAGTGTTATCTCCAGATAGATAATGCAATAATAATACAATAAAGAATAAACCATTAAAGACAGAATATCATAGTAAGTATTGACAATAGCAAACTAAATATTTGACCCCTTGTCCAATACCCATTGATATTGCTGTCCACATCCCTCCTCTCCCAACCAATCCTATTCATCTCGTTACATTTCCCCTCGAAGTGAGATCCCAATCCCTCTTTCCCTTTTTTATCTCCCTGGCCTAGTGTGAGCGCAGCCCCTCCCCCATCTGGTGTTACCTGTCCCCCCTTTTTCTCCCCTTCACTAAATCTCCTCATTCTACCTCCATGCCCCAGTTGGACCATAATCATTCCATCAATTCCACACATATCCTCAATCCCATTCCTGATCTTTCTGATTTTTTTTTTCTCTCACCCTTCTGTCCTTCAATCCCTCCCTTCTCCCACCCCCACACCGTGCCTTTTCAATCTGCAGATGCAAAGTCTTTGAGGGACCCGTCGAAGATCAAGGCCATCCGTCTGCAGGTAGGGCGAACATTTGACTCTTATTGCAGTGATGTTTCGACTATGCTCTATTATAATTTCCATTAAACGGTGTTAAAGAAGAGCCCCCTTACTACCACTGTGGCTTTTACTTAGCATTTTATCAAACATTTTGAAAGATAATAATCCATCCACTTACCAGGAGACTTGGCCTTGTGTTTGTGCAGGTTCAGATGAGTCTGGAGGACTACATTAATGACCGTCAGTATGACTCCAGGGGTCGTTTTGGAGAGCTGCTGCTCCTGCTGCCCACCCTGCAGAGCATCACCTGGCAGATGATCGAACAGCTCCAGTTCATTAAGCTCTGCGGCCTGGCCAAGATAGACAACCTGCTGCACGAGATGCTGCTGGGAGGTGAGAGCAACCCCTGTTTCTGCTTGTAAACCTGCAGAAAGAAAAATAGGGTGACCTTCAGCTAGGAAAAACAAAAGATCCAGTGGAGCTATTCAATGATACATGTGTGCAACTGGGCAGGCATGAAGAAGTGAAACAAATAAACAAAAAGTACATCTCCAAAGTTGTCCTGGATATATAACATAGGTAAAAGTTTGCAGGGAGTTGGTTTAACTTCAGATAATCCAAACACAGACAAAATAGACATCTGCAAACACATTGAAATGTGTATGAATAAGGAAATCTGTATTTAAAGGTAGAATGCATCAAACATATTCTAAGCAGAGCCATGACAGACAACAGAAGCACCGGGTGAGGTGGGAAATAAAAGCTAAGTCATCTCCAAAAATGTCTTCTCCATATATGCTAAAAACAACCCACCGATCTGACAAGCTGACTTAGAAGACCTTTAGAAAAAGAGATGTGTGTTTTATTTTTCAGCATCCTGTAGATATGCAGAACAAACCAAACACAGATAACAACTATTGAAATATTGAGGGGATTATATTTAGTTATGTGAATGTGATGTTGACATACATTTTCAAACCAAGCCACACAATCAAGAAAGTGAAACTAAACAAATGTCTTCTTTTCCTTATAAAACGAGGGTGTATTTTAGCATGCAGAGCTTCTTACATAGATCTATCAGCTTTTTAAATGGCAGCCTGACTAAATTACTGTATAAAACATGCATACATGCCAATACACTTTTGAAATAAACTCTGAATACATTTGGAAAACTTGACTCCCTTAATTAATTAAAATGTCCAGAATAGGGATTTATTCGTGCACTGGTTCTTTTTGGTTTGATGAGGGCTTGTTAGGTGAGAGAAGGAATCTGGGTTTGGAGTGTTTCATTAAGTGTGTGATCCCTTAAATGCAACCTGATTAAATCTATATAAATATATAGATTTCTCTGTAACTAAAACGTATATGTGTTCAGGCCTCACGTCGGAGCCCACACACCTGCACCACTCGACACACACCCAGCTGGCACAGGACCCTCTGACTGGACACACACTGGTCATCAGCACCATGCCTGTCACTCACAGTCCACATATTGGTAGGAAACACATACAGTCACACATGAAATATCAAAGCGACATTGATGTCCAATTCATCTCTCTGCGTGAAATGTCAAAAAAGTATTCCCCAGTTGTGTTTCCATTACCTTGAAGAGAATAAATAGGCCACCTGAATGTGAATCCATAAAAATGTAACATTCTGAAGAATTGATGAGTATTGCATGATTTCATTTAAAATAAAAAATGCATTTGGCGATATTACACCACCTAATGGCCACGGAAGATTGATGGGGGCTGTATCTATAAAGCAGTGTTACATTTCCCGTGGGCCACAGTCAATACATTTTACCGTCTTTGTGTATACAATATTACCTTTTTCCTAATATTTGCAAAAACATATAATGTCTCTTTCTCCCTGCAGCCTCTCCTGACACTCCCATCCCATCACCCAGCCCCCCAGAGAAGTACAAACACTTCCCCCAGCCCCTCTGTCCTCCAGCCAGCCCCTCACCCTCACAGACAGATCTCTGACCTGCACTCTGTCAGAGAGCGTGACACGGGCACGGTGTCCTCTAAACATGCGTGGTCATGGTGTAAAGATTAGGAAACCTCCCTGTTCCGTGGTTAGACTTTACCCTGCCTCTCCCCCTTGTGACTCCTGCTCATGTTGCAACAACTACTCAGATGTAATAAAAGCTACAATTACTTAAATATCTCACTTTCCGGTGCATACTGCTGGTTACCTAAACAAATACAACAGTATCTCTGTTTTTACAACTAGATATTCTTCTTTTAAAAACCTCAAATGTTTTTGATTGTTTGCTTGACTAATGTTCTGCTTTATTAGGCACATATTTGCAGAGAAATGGCCCCTGGGCACATATGTTTCTTTAGGTCTATCACTACTGCAAAGACTGCAACGGCGAGTTCTGACAAAGAGTAAAAGTACAAGTACTAGCTTAAAAAAACTGCAATGAAAAAAATAATAATCAAGGCTTGCTGTCAACAAATCCCTCCTGCCATCAAATACAAATGGAATGTTTTGTTTTATATACATTATGAATTAATGTATACATCAGTCATTGTGTATGAAATGTGTGTGAAATTCAGGGACATTGCTGCTTATTTTCAGGATTTAGGTTTTCTATCTAAAAAGACTCTAGAGTACCCAGAGGAAGTAACTTTGTTAACAGTTGAATTTTCTGAAAATAATCTGAAAGTGTACTGGTTTGTATTTAATACTGGGCCATGAATACATATATCATACACCAGTGGTTCTCAAAGTGGGGGGCGCAGAGGCATGACAGGGGGGGCGTGAGAGACCAGGAGGAAAAATGGTTATTACGTTTTTTTTTTTTAAAGATAAAAAAAAAAAAAAAAAAAAAAAAACATATTTTCAAAAATTATTGATTCGAAAATAATACGATACAGTACTATTACGTCTGGGTCTCTGTGTTTCATTAAAGCTTGGCTCTGTGTGTGTGGAACGAGCCATTTTGTGTGCGTGCGCGAGCGAGAGAGAGAGAGCGCACCGGTACCGGAGATCGTTGCTGTTAGCTTCTGGTGCTAGCGAGCTACGCCAACGGATATAAGGAGTTTTTTCAACAACAAAGTGGAGGAGAGTCCTCTCCTGTCAGACTGAGAGACTCTGAGCTAAAGGACTCTCAGTGTTATCTCAGTGGGTCTCAAACGTTTGGTCACCATTAATGTAAACAATTATTTCCGAGGCACACGTTTATATGATCATTATAGTTATACAAAAATAAGAGAATACATTAAAAACAGGTATGAAATACTATGACAGTAAAACAAGAATAAAGTTGAAAAGGGTGATTTGTAAAATATCCATAAAGAAATAGTAAATCTGTGTTGAGAGAGGTATCCATAGATCTCTTAATTTTGCTCTCAAAGTGCACCAGATTGATGCTTTTAACTTCAATATTTAAAAACAAATCTTCCCGGGGGAGCTTGCCCCCGGAGCCCCCTAGAGGAGGTGAGGACCCCCTTAGAGGAGGTGAGGACCCCCCCTATGTGAGGTCCACACACCACCTATAAAAATAGCACTTTACCCCTACTTACACCTATATGCCGTGAGCTGATTATCGAGCCTTCATTGTAACAATCGCGGGTACATTGTGTATATGCGTGGGGAGTGTTGCAGTAGAAAATTCCACTGTAGCGCCTCGTACATTAATGGGAAACCCTAAATGTTTGAGCACCCTCTATGAAACGTCAAGCTACCCCACAGTACCCGCAAAATAAATCTCTGGCGCCGCCACTGAGCCTGACTATTTGTGTTGGGGGGGGGCCCGACTTTTTTTTTTCTCCAAAGGGGGGGCCTGACAGAAAAAGTTTGAGAACCACTGTCATACACTATGGCGCTAGTATTTTTAACATACATTCAGCAGCTAAAATATAATATAAATGGGAACAGAGTGGCCAGAATAAACATGATATTAACAACAATCTTATAATTTATACATATATTTGAAATAAATCAAGTTAAATGCAAAAGGAATATGGATACATTTTAATTTGTTATTGTATATAGACAAATGGAAGTTTTTGGAATATAAAAGTGTTTTGCTATTTTACATTTCTAGAATCAACTGTGTATTTCTTTGATAATGTGTATATTTCTTAATTTATGCAGTTAATTGTTTAAAATGTCATTTTGACTATTTTATTTGAAATGAATGAATTGAATGTGGGGTCAGACCTACAGTGAGAGACATAGTGTGTTGTGGCTCAGTAGCGCCCTCTTGCTGTCACAAGAGGAAATACAGCATTGTACTAAATGTAAATGGACTACTTATTGTATACATTGTGCATCAATTGAAAACCATGTGTTATATAAGAATGCATTCATTCATTTTTTTGTATAGGACTAAATAAAGTGTAAAATGGAAAAAGATAAATAGCTTTTCAATCAAACAGGCATCTGTCGCTGCAGTCATAGGAAACCATTGCAATAGATATTGCTAAAGAATAAATGGAAATTGACATTTTTACATTTGATCCAAAAAGGAAAAACAATTTAAACAGACAGATGATGATACATTGACAGAATGTATTTCAGTATGGTGTCTTCACATGCAAGAATACAGAGTGAGGTGCATCCATTACTTCCTTCATCACGCTGCCTCACGGTTCCATTGGTTAGAGTGTATGGTGTGTATGTAAAGCTTTATTGGACGCTATTGAGATGGCACTGCCGGATGCAGCTGCTCATCTAAAATCAAACGAGTTTCCATCCACCTGAGAAAACACACTTTGGGACCAAGCCTAAAGCCAAACTAGATTGTTAAACGACAATGGGAGATGAAGCTGAGCCGTGCCGGGACCAACTGTACTTTTAAATCTGTTATTTTGTTTACTTCCATCCATACACAATCATTTTTATCGGGGTGTGTGTGTGTGTGTGTGTGTGTGTGTGTGTGTGTGTGTGTGGTGTGTGTGTGTGTGTGTGTGTGTGTGTGTGTGTGTGTGTGTGTTGTGTGTGTGTGTGTGTGTGTGTGTGTGTGTGTGTGTGTGTGTGTGTGTGTGTGTGTGTGTGTGTGTGTGTGCAGTGGATGAGACTGGGGGATAAAGCAGAGAGTTCTTATTCTCTGTATATTGTTGTGTGAGTCGGAGACAACACTCAGGTTATTTATGGTGGAGGATATGATGCTGTCTAGAATCAACATAGCCAAATCCTCCTATCAACTTCATAATGGACAAGCTACCTGGCTTAGATCAAAAACAATACCACCCACAGTGGGAGGATGTGTGTATGTATACTGTATGTGTGTGTATGTTCCTATACCTGCAATTTATTTATAATCTGTGTGCTCCTGTGTGTATGTTTTTGGTGTGTGTGTGTGTACCCAGGGAGCTTTAATCAAAGGCCCATAGTGAGGAGATGAGGGTGCCCTGTCTCTGTCCTCAGATAAAACTGCGTGTTAGCATGCCAGTCACATATCTAATCTGAGGCGCACTGTCCCCCCCCCCCACACACACACACACACACACACACACACACACACCTCACCGCTGCCCACACTGACAGCACGATATTACACACCAGTATGACGCTCGATCCACCTGAGGAGGGCGACGAGGGGGAGGAAGAGGATGGAGGAGCGAAGGATGGACAGGAATATGATTTTTTTGTCCGATTTTATTTTCAGACTAGGTGCTGATAATGTGAATTTGTTGAGAATGTATATACATTTTAAGAGGCTCTTGATTATCATTAAACCCTAATAACAACTCACTAAATGTGAATCGATAATGAATGTATTCTTTCCATAAAGTAAGTACCAAACCTTAGGGAAGTGGTTAACATTTTGACATATTTGTATGTAATCATTATAGTGATTTGCTTAAATGTGAAATTAATGTGTGACCTGTATTATTGAAGGTTATTTCCACTTCTCTGGTCATCTGTCCATCAATAACTGATCCATCCATCCACCCATCACCACTCCATCCACCCTTTCCTCTTATAAACACTAGATGGCAGTATAGGTCTGTGGATTCACAATAGAAACATCTCTTTAATGGCTGAAACCAATGCCTTGAGCTAATTTGATGTAAAAGTTATTTCAAAAAATGATTTAAAAAATAATGTGTTATCATATTTGATTTCCATTAGAATACATGTATTGCTTGGTTGCAGCATTTAAGATGAGTTTATCACAATTATTGTATTGAAACTATTTTCAACTAAAGTGAGAAACATACTCAAATATATTTAATTGTAAAAAAGTTACATTTGGATATTTGCAACTGCAGTTCAAGTATTATACATTAAAATGATCTTAACAACACTTATTGTAATTTGTTTGTTTTAGCATTCTGTGATTTAGCTACTCAGTTCTGAATCGATTTTGTCTGAAATTGGCATAAAAGACTGAGAAAGTCACACACGTAGGTTCGACACCATGCAGGGGAATATTGGCACGGTCTGAAATGAATGGCATGTGTCAGATCCCAGATTAGAGCCGGAGATTGCAGGCTATCTTCCTCACCAGTGCATTTACCCATAATTCCCCCCTGTCTCCAACATATCCGATGATACCTCCTCTAGGAGACAAGGTGAGCTGTACGAATCTCTGCCGCCAACTCTGGAATGAATTTAAAACCTCTCCTGAGTGATTTTCTGTGTCTCTGTCCTGCCACTGTCTCTTTGTGTGTGTGTGTGTGTGTGTGTGTGTGTGTGTGTGTGTGTGTGTGTGTGTGTGTGTGTGTGTGTGTGTGTGTGTGTGTGTGTGTGTGTGTGTGTGTGTGTGTGTGTGTGGCATGCATTTGTGGTTTCTGATTATACCACAGCATGGAAGGAAAATACAGTGACAGCTTCATTTCCAAAGCTGAGTTCACATAAATGAGGGATTAAAGCAAGCAATAGGGTTAAGGCTCCCCTCGGCCTTCAGTGACAGCTTTCCCTCCCTCAAATCACTCTCTTCCTCTCCTTGTTTTACTCTTTCTGTCTCACCCCTCTGTCTCCATCTTTATTTGTGTCTCTCTTTGACTCCCTCATTCCCTATCTGTTTTGTGTTGACACTGCTCACTTCGCCTGCAGAGATAATACATGCACGGATAATGTTGACTACACACACAGTGATTTACACAGTTGCATGAAACTGGGCTGCTCTACATCATGATGATGGGAAGCAGGTTAAGGCAATGAAACTAGGGGTTAGGGCAAGTGTGTGTGTGTGTGTGTGTGTGTGTGTGTGTGTGTGTGTGTGTGTGTGTGTGTGTGTGTGTGTGTGTGTGTGTATGTGTGTGTGTGTGTGTGTGTGTATGTGTGTGTGTGTGCGTATGTATGTGTGTGTGTGTGCGTGTGTGTGTGTGTGTGTGTGTGTGTATGTATGTGTGTGTGTGTGTGTGTGGGGGGGGGGGGTACATTAGGGAAATGAAAAGGGCTGGACCACTGATGGCTTCAGAGATGCAGGCTTGTTAGAATAAAGGAATATAAAAAAGACCGGAGCAAGGGGAGATGACAGGGAGGATGATAAGATGAGTAGTGCAGTAATAAAAAAAAAAACGGTCCTGTGTACCCCGAGATTACATGGGGGATGAGATTGGAGAGAA